ATACTTTGCACACAAGGATATATATATCTTTTCTACAAGAATTACATCAAGAAATGTTAGAGGAAGAATTAAATAAAAAAGATTGAACTAATCATGCTGAGCTATAGGTGGAATAATTAATACGAATCATGTACGAAATGATAACTGGGGTTAAAATTAAGCAAATTTTATATGATGTTTCAATTGCATCATTTGAATGGACGATTATCGATCAGAGAATGAACGTGAATACGTATCGAGTATTGTGAAGTGAATAATAGCGTGAATAATGGTTATAATGACAATGTTGTAATTAGTTAAGCTAATGCTACTAATAAAAGATAATTGGTAATGAAATAGGAATAGTATTAAATACAAGAGAAAAAATAGAGTGTAACTGATATCAATGACAATAATAACAATTGATAAGTAAAGCATGAAAGGATCAAAATGACAGCCATTTCTTTTTGTACACAGAGATCCGGTTTACAATTCTAATTTCACAAGCCAGCATCTTCCTGTTAATTTACCTGCTGACAATTGTAAATTACTTTATGAAGTAGGTGTCATGTCCTCAGTCTACAAGATTCCTTCCTAATAAACAGTTTTGTACTTTGACGTCAGCCAAATATAACTAGGTTGGTTGACACTCCATCATTCATATAGGTGATTGCCTTTTCGTACGTCCATTGCATTTGCTAAAACAAACACGCTAAAAATGATAAACGCAACTTGTAGTGTCGAGGATTTGCGATCATGCATTCTTAGATTGCAGCAGCACCCACTTAGTGATGTTGAGGAACGCGAGTTATGTGGCATTGTAGGTTTGCCTGATGGCTTCCTCAAGCCTTCGTTGAACCCTATCTTGCGCATCATCTGATTTCTAGGGCACATCGATGTATACAGCTACTTTTGATTTTATTTGGATAAGTTTACCAGGGCTTATTTCTTCAGAATATTCGTGGATGAACTAATTGTGGTTGCGTTCAAAGATAAAATATCCACTAAAGACTTCATTTTATATACCAATGTACTGCAAGGTTAAATTTTGAGCAGTCTTTTTATATCGGATTGTTATTATATTCCACGTGTTTTGTTTTGCAGTTGAGATCACGATGTCATGAATTTACTGCTACTCATAAGTATTCCGCTTTTGATTTGCTTTCACAGACAATCCAAATAGCATCTGCTAATCTTAGATGGATATTCTCCGTCTTATATGCTGTCGCAGAATACCGCTGTTTAAGCAGTAAGTGATTTGGTGAAGTTAAGGTGTTCGATTGCTTGACGTTGTGCTAGGAGCGACCATTTTAACGAGCATAATAAGTTTAGGATACATCCTCTAAGATTTTATATGTCTTTGCGTAGAGACCGTCTGAGACATACACGAAGAAATCTCTGTCATCTAACGGAAATGCACGCACACTTAAACACTTAAGACTATGGTTACAATGAATTAAAGTAAGCGCTCAATCTTGTTTGATAGACTGGTTTAGAAGAATTACTGAAAACAAATTTATGACCGCTCTCTGCGATATGCTTGTTGATTTATTTTTCTAGGTTTCTCTTTGGAAGTTCATTTGAACCAGATGAATTTATTTCTCCTTCCAGCCACCTGAGATTGTGTACTGTAGGTCACCTATTTTCCACAGACCTATGATTCCTTAATGTAATTGAAAAACATGGCACTTTGTTGTCTGTAATTGCATATGATATAATTTTATTTTAAATATCACACAGTAATGAAGTATTAAAAAGTCATTTAGTTTGTCTAGGGAAGCTTTGTTTATCGATATAACTCCGCACACGGTCAGTCTGATGACATCCTCGCAGAAGCATTGAAAATGGGCCCAGAGACAACAGTGGACTCGATGACGCCACTAATGGAGAAGGTGTCGAAACAAGGCAAGGTACCCGAGGATTGGAAGAAAGGATACTTATTCAAACTACCAAAGAATTGAGACCTAAGTCAATTCAAGAACGAGCGCGGAAATATGCTCCTGTCTATCCCCAGCAAAATACAAAGCGGCATCATCCTGGAGAGAATGAAACATGCCCTTGATGATAAACTTCTACCGGAACAGGCTGGGTTCAGGAGAAACAAGTCATGTATTGATCAGGTCGCCGCATTATGGGTCATCGTCGAACAAAGCTTGGAATGACAGTCACCTCTCTATCTCAAATTCATTTACTTTGAAAACGCCTTCGTCAGCGTCGATCGAGAGGTGCTTTGGCAACTGCTTCGCTACTATGGGGTACCACCGACAATTATACATCTCATCCAACAGCTGTACGACAATGCTGCAGCATCCCAAGTAATCCACAACGGGAAACTTACGAAATCCTTCGAGGTGAGGACAGGAGTAAGACAAGGCTGCCTACTATCGCCAATGATTTTTTGATTGCAGTAGATTGAATAATGCGACAAACAGTGGGCAATGAGGAAACAGGCATAAGATGGACTCACACAAAAAACTTGGAGGATCTGGACTTCGCCGATGATATTTGTCTGATTTACCACAAACTGGAAGATATGCAAGCGAATAGCAACAAGTTGACAGAAAAAGCATCATAGATAGAACATAGAGAAAACAGAGGTGATGAATATTCCTGGGCATCACCAACAACAACAACAGACAACAATCAGTATAAATTGAAGGAAACTGAAAGAAACAACCCCTTTAACCTACCTGGGAAGCATCGTTTCAACTACAGGCGGAACTGACGAGGATATCAAAGCAAGAATCGGAAAAGCAAGACAAGCTTTCACTACTCTCAAGTCTGTGTGGAGGTCAACAGCACTGAGCATCAAAAATAAGATCCGTATTTTCAACTCCAATGTGAAGTCAGTGCTACTATACGGATCAGAGACTTGGCGTGTCATGAAGAGCACCTCAAACAAACTACAGACCTTCATTAACAGTTGTCTTCGCTCAATACTGAAGATCGGATGGCCAGAAAAGATCAGCAACAGGGATCTTTGGGAACGAACCAACCAGGAACAGATTGTGAAACAAATAGGCGGGAAGAAATGGAGATGCATTAGCCATACTCTGAGGAAACCATCAAGCGACATCACTAGACAAGCCCTCGAGTGGAACTTTCGAAAGGGAAGCGGCGAATTGATGACTTGGAGGAGGTCATGTGAAGAGGAGATGAAAACGTGTGGGCAAACTTGGAGCCAGGTGAAGACTCTAGCAGAGAACCGAACGCAATGGAAACGCATGGTGAAGCCCTATTTTACTCTAGGAAGTAAAGGAAACAATAATAAAAATACCGGAAATATCGAAAGTCTCAATTGGAAATTGGAGAAACAGAAGGAGAGAAAATACACATAAGACAAATTGTGAAACCGGAGTTTCACATCCATGGAACACATTAGCAGCCTACATGGAAAAGATAATTCCCAGTTGATATTCAAATATCTTTAAATGAGCACTAGTCATGACTTAATACTATAGAGGTAGGAGATTACGCTCTTCAGAGAGATTAGAAGAATTTATGTTTCTCGAAAAGATGTTTGACAGCGATGGTTACACTCAAAGGTTCATTAACAAGTATGGAATGTCTGAATTCTCAAATGTCAAGCAAATCACAGTGAGGTAAATAGCACACCTGCATTCAACTTGACTTTGAAGGTGAAAATATAACAGTAACTGTCAACAGAAGATTGAGGATATCACTGGGCAGAGACTATCCTGCAACCAAGCTTGTTCTCGTCTATCAAACAAATTGCCCCTTGGAGCAATCAAAAATCGACAGATATCTTTCTCATGTTAACTGAAACTAAATACACAAATTAACGTGTATGTGTGGGAGCAGTTACATTGGAGAAGCAGAACGAAGCGCAAACCTCCGATCTTACGAACACAACGGAATGGAAGCTGTTAACATTTTATTCTGTGAAAACTGTTGTTCTTGTTTGCACCTGCGTAATATCTACTGGTTAATTCACTAAGTACACTATGAGTTAATCATAATAATTCGCCTTTGGAGACAACGGAAGTTTTAGCTTAGATAAAACAGCCTGTGTAATCAAGTTAATTGAACATACATAATCAGTCAAATAATTATGAAATGAAATCCTTGTTGAACTGAAAGTTTCCAGCGGACCTGTAATTTGACTTTTCATCCATAATTTATCGCAAATTAATGGCGGAATGCTTGCCATGTATATAGAAAAAAACTTCACTAGTTCCAAGTTTGACGATGGGCTGATATGAGCTAGAGAAGCGCTTTAGAATATCAGGCAGTACCAATCAGCTGTTTCATCAGCGTTGTTTGAGACTCATCGGAAATACGTCACCAATCGTGTTTGAGTGCAGGACCTTCCGATTGTATGGTAGGCTTGTAGACCATTCAGCTATTGAGACCTGACTCAGTCTGTGAACATACGATTTCTAACCCCTACGCATTGGTAATTTTAACGGAATTGGTACCAGCCAGTTCTATACACGAAGAGAGTTTGTCCTCACTCTCAATTGAGTGGACTCCACCGGTCAGGAGTTATCACTAGTGAGAATCACAATAATTTACAAGGTTTAGTTTATAAGAAATTGATTTGTTCCATGTTTCAACGAAGATTATTACCAGTCAGAGAAGCACTGATAACCAACATCAACGGTAAGTATTCACCGAAATTGTGCTAAGATCAAGAAGAAGTTGAAGTTATAACTCATTCAGCGGTCATTGAGTCGTGTCTTTGTGGCTGAACGATCTGTAAGCTTGCTATGTAACTGGAAGATCCTGGTTCCGAAATTGAATGTGTGAGTAATACCAATGAGTCCCAGTCTGAGGAGAGGAAATAGATGTCCAGTACTCCCTGGGGTTTTTCAATGGTCCTCTAACCATAATCTATCCATGGTTAAACTTGAAGCAAATCGAGTTACTCCAAAGAAACGTATTTTTGAAAAGTCTACTTAATTTTAAATCTTCTCAATAGGTATGAGTCTATTTTATGAGAAAGGATTGGTTGATTTGCCTTTACATGGAGGGTGGCCATACACAGCAACAAAGACCGTGAATCAGTATACTGTTGTTTTTTCTGTAACCAATGTACTACATATTGATTTTATTTGCTAGCTATTATGCTTTGTTAATTGCTAAATATAACTGCATCTTTAGATAGGTGAACACAAAATTGAGATACACATATGTACACCACATACATACTTAGTATGCATTCGTGTATAACTATAAAAAGGCTGTTTGTGAGAGATTTAGGCATAATATTATTTTGCAGTATATAACACTGACAACATACACTGACGAGAGATTTTGAATCATGAAAAATATACTACAAACGATATTATGCTGCCTGCTACTCCTATTATCTAATAACAATGCAACTATTGAATGTGAGTTGATTATTAATCCATTTTTATAAGGTGTCAAAATATTATCCTTTTACTTTTGATGGTTTGATTTTTAAGATCACAATTTTATCAAGTGTCAATTTACAATAGTTAGTTATGTATCACTTTAACTACTAACATGTGAATTTCAATGTAGATATCGTTATGAATGGAACTTAGACAGAGAACCATTGACCAGCTGAAGGGTTGCTTCGTTGTAGTCCGAATCACTGTGAAGCCGTTGTTTGATAGTAAGAATTTATAAGAAGATTGGTTGAAACTAGAATGCCGAGGTTGGTGGATTCCAAGTCAATGAATGAATAATCAACGCACCAGTTTCATAATCTGAAAGGTTAGATCTCTAGCGAAGTCACAGATGAATATTGTTGAAGAGTCTCAGACTGCGAAGAAGTAGATGCTTTTTAATAATGCTCTAAACTAATGTTCTTTCTAAACTGAAATTAATAGAAAACACTAGGATCAGACCTGAAATCTGAATATTTCACTTAAGCGTAGAAATTTAATGTAAATAAATTCCTTGGATTTCTTGAAATGCGTATGTGACGTGATCGTTTTTTTCTCATGAATAATTCAAATACAGTGAAGTAAAGTATATTCGACCGGATTATCTAAATACTTAGATAAACATTTTGTGTTCAAAAGAACTACCAAAATCATCTCTATTTACAATACAAAAGAGAACATTGAATATAAAACGAATTCACTGAAAATTGTGAGACATTTAAAGAAATATGGGATTTCCTGTAATTAAATTAATTTTGATGAATGAGGTGTGCTCAAATGGTGTACATGGAAACAAAATAATATACAGAATTACACAAGGGTTTTAAGTTAGAAAAATAAGCATACAAACAGAAGTAAGGTCAAATCAAACAAACAAAGAAGAGTTCGGTCAAATCAACGAAGTTGTTACCATGCGAGTAGAAGTGGTTGGATAATTTTCTTTTGTATGCATAGTTCTGCTTCCACCAACTGGATGGCTAGGGCTTCTGCAATGCAAAGAAGACGAAATCTTACTGTCTATGGGAGGTTGTTCTTCACTTTGTAGACCACTTTGAAGGAGGCGTTCGTTGAGATGGAATGACCGGTGTTGACGAGATGTTCGATTATTGCACTCCTTATATGGCCATTATTTCCTTTCTGTAGTTAATCACTCATGAAGTGTACGATCAGCTCCGACCGACAGGGTCAACAATACCAAGACTATATGGCTTACCAATGATACATAAAGCCAACCTCCCACTTCGTCCAATTCTGGATATGTCAGGTTCCCCGTACCATTCAATACCGAAATGGCTCACTTACATTTTAGAACCTGTACGAAAACGAATGTGCCACTATTCACTTCGTGACACTTTCCAATTCGTCAATTACATTAAAGATAAACCGACTTGGAACGGACAACTAGCAAGTTTCTACAGCTGGGTACCAATCAGTCGGAAAAGAAACCTGATTAAATCCCTTGCCACTCGCGTCAGACGCATCTGCAGCTCCGACACCATGGAAGAAGAACTAAACTTCCTGAGGGAAATCTTCATACAAAATGGCTACCCACCAAGATTTGTAGACAAAAACATCAAACAGAAAAACCAAAAGCAAGAGACACCATCCGTTCCAAAAAAGATACTTTATATGAACCTAGACTTCAAAGGAGACCTACTTAGTGACGTCCTCAGAAGGAGAATTTCCACCTCTTTAGGAAGAACTTTCCCTGCGGCAACACTGAGAATAGTGTTCTCCAGTCGCCCGCTGATCTGCAGAAACCCAAAGGACAAGATTCCTCACATGACCACTTCTATGTGTATATATCAGTTCACCTGTTGCTGTGGAGCCAGGTACATCGGTCGTTCAACGCGCATCCTGTCAAAAAGGGTCAAAGAACACCACCCAGCGTGGCTACAGAAAGGAAATAATGGCCATATAAGGAGTGCAATAATCGAACATCTCGTCAACACCGGTCATTCCATCTCAACGAACGCCTCCTTCAAAGTGGTCTACAAAGTGAAGAACAACCTCCCATAGACAGTAAGATTTCGTCTTCTTTGCATTGCAGAAGCCCTAGCCATCCAGTTGGTGGAAGCAGAACTATGCATACAAAAGAAAATTATCCAACCACTTCTACTCGCATGGTAACAACTTCGTTGATTTGACCGAACTCTTCTTTGTTTGTTTGATTTGACCTTACTTCTGTTTGTATGCTTATTTTTCTAACTTAAAACCCTTGTGTAATTCTGTATATTATTTTGTTTCCATGTACACCATTTGAGCACACCTCATTCATTAAATTATTTCATTAAAATTCAAGTAAGTCAACAAAATATGAGTTTAGTTAGCTTTTCAACTCTCGAGAGGTAAAAGATTTCTTGGTTAGTAAAATTTATACAGGTGTAGCCAGAATAAAAATGGCCAGTTTTGACCACAATCTTCCCTTCAGTATGTGCAGTGTGTTACTCTTTATGCTGATTCACTGTTATTTGCAACTGTAATTTTCTGGGAGCGTCTATTTTTTGATGTGTATGGAAAGAGGCAAAGGAGCAGAATTTACCGAATAAATCATATTTCTGTAGGATCCCCACTCAACTGAATACTCTGCAAAGATTGAGAGATATGTGGCTGAAAAATAAAGAAACTATAGTTTATAAGTCATGAGAAACGATAGGTGAGAGAAGTTCAAAGGCAAAGTTCAGATTAACAAAGCGGAAGGTGTATGACAGAATTTAAAAACGAGCTCAGTAACGCAAATATAACCATAAAACAGGAGCAAACAGCTAGCAGCAATGAAATTCACAAAAGATAAAAATTTCAGAATTTACAAAATAGTAATAGATTGAAGTAGCTCAAGATAAAAAAATGAAAACAATGTACTCAATACGGATAAAATATCCATTCAAACGAAGGAAAACACAAAAAAGAGAAATTAAAAACCAAAAAAAAGGGTAGAAATAATTAAGAAAATAAAACAAAATGACCAACAAAGTAATAAAGAGTGTAGCCCGTCTACACAACAATATTTCCTCACAACATTTTCCATCCATTCACCTATAAGCCAGTTGGGAAGCAAATGTGATGGTGAGTTGACCTCGCCTTGTAAGTAATTGTGTGTGAATTGAAATAAGGCTCACTCGTCATTGCTCTCCTCATCTTCATACAATCGTGCTTATCGATGATCGTGTGTTGCATGTGAGTCAGTACCAATAGTGAGAAAGACATGCGAATTCAGTCGACGAATAATACCGTGGACAAGTAGATAGCCGTATATATGAAATGATGGATATATATACATCGGCGTAAAATAGATAGATGTATCGATGGATGAGAGCAATATTCATATGTGAACTACAGTAGAGATTTCGTGAGTGGAATTGTTGGTTGGATCTAGTGAAGTGAATCACAATGAAGGCTGATAAGCATTATGATTCCATATGTAATTGCTCAAAGCACCTCCAAACAAAAACAAGCTTATCAAATATGTCTCTTTCAAATTCCAGATGACAGCGACGGTAACTATATCGGAAGTAAGTACATATTATTGCGTTGATTCAGAGAATTCTTCACAGCATTATTGCTATTACAATTTCACCATGCTCAGATTTCTCTCACTCACTAAATCATTCACTCGATCAATGAGAGGCATTCCGATTCAGTCACTGACAATTTCTGACGTCGATGATATCGTCGATTGATTGATTTCATCTGTATGCAGCAAAGTTGTTTGTGTTTCCTGTGAGTGAGTGAGTGATTGAGGGGTGCAGTATATCGTCAATGTGCAGGAAATTGCATGAGAAATTCTGCCTTCCGACCACACACGATCCACGAAACACGCATACGCACCACTAAACACTGCAAAACACCACACTCACTCAATTCCCTTTCATCATATCTCATACACAAACGTCACTCTACCCTGTCTCCACAACAAGATTTCTTCACATATTTTTTCCATCCATTCACCTATTAGCGAGTTGAGAAGGAAATGTGATGATGAGTTGACCTCGCCTTGTAAGTAATTGTGTGTGAATTGAAATAAGGCTCACTCGTCATTGCTCTCCTCATCTTCATACAATCGTGCTTATCGATGATCGTGTGTTGCATGTGAGTCAGTACCAATAGTGAGAAAGACATGCGAATTCAGTCGATGAATAATACCGTGGACAAGTAGATAGCCGTATAGATGGATTGATGGATATATAAAGGCATGAAAAGATGGATGTATAGATATAAAGATACATAGAAAGATAAATAGATAGAAAGATAGATAGATAGATACATAGATAAATAGAGAGATAGATAGATAGTAAGATAGATAGGTAGATAGAAAAACAGATAGATAGATGGATAGATAGATAGATAGATAGATAGATAGATAGATAGATAGATAGATAGATAGATAGATAGATAGATAGATAGATAGATAGTAAGATAGATAGGTATATAGAAATATAGATAGATAGATAGAAAGATAGATAGATACATAGAGAGAGAGATAGATAGATGGATATAAAGATAGATGGATAGATAAAAAACAGATAGATAGATAGACAGACAGAGAAATAGAAAGATAGATAGATAAATGGGTAGATAAATAGATACATAGGTAGATAGATAGATAGGAAGATTGATAGCAACATAGATAGTTTGATAAATAGATAGATGGATAGATAGAGAGATACACTGATGTAAATATAAATAGAAAGATATAGATATAAATAGATAGCTTGCTAGAAAATAGCTAGATAGATAGAAAGATATTTCGAAAGATAGACAGATAGATAGATAAATAGATAGATAGTTAGATAGATAGATAGATGGTTAGATAGATCGAAAGATAGGTAGATAGACAGATAGATAGATAGATAGATAGATAGATAGATAGATAGATAGATAGTTTGATAGATAGATCGAAATTTAGATAGGAGGATAGATAGACAGACAGTAAATAGATAGGTATAGGAATAGATAGATAGCTAGCTAGATTATTAGACAGAGAAATTGCTATATAGATTGATGGTTAGTTATATGCAGAATTAGATGGAATGGATAATAGAAACATAGATTGTTAGATTTATGTTTAGTTGGTTAAATAGTTAGATAGAAGCATATTTGCATACACACATGGATTATGCAATGTATAGGTGGATATATTTGTATTTGGATACATGTAAATATATGTAGTTTGTGAGATAAACAGACAGATAAATGGATCGCAATTCACAGGGATTCATTCGACTAGGTGAACTACAGTGGAGAATATGGGAGTGGACTTTTTGTTGTGAAGAACAGTGGATTTCAATGAACGCTGATATGCAGTATGCTTTCATTTGTATTTGCTGAAAGAACTTCCCCGCTAATCCAATTTTGTCAAATATGTCTGTTATATTCTTTAGAAGACAGCGACAATGCCGATAACGGAGGTGAGTCTCTGTCGTTTTGTTGATTCACAGCATTCTTCACAGCATTATTGCTATTACAATTTCACCATGCTCAGATTTCTCTCACTCACTAAATCATTCACTCGATCAATGAGAGACATTCCGATTCAGTCACTGACAATTTCTGACGTCGATGATATCGTCGATTGATTGATTTCATCTGTATGCAGCAAAGTTGTTTGTGTTTCCTGTGAGTGAGTGAGTGATTGAGGGGTGCAGTATATCGTCAATGTGCATGAAACTGCATGAGATATTCTGCCTTCCGGTACGATACAACACAACACAAAACATTCCTCGAAAATCACCAGTCAACATCACTGATCATTCAGAGTTGATAATGTCGCTAACCCCTTCCACCAATTGTGCATCATTCACATAAAAACATTCTCCTCCACCTCTCTGTATCTCTCTCACTACACCTACTCCCTCTCCCTCTTTCTCCAAAGAAACACAACCAGTCGCAAATCAGTCAGAAAGCACTGCGTCAGCTGGCACTGATCAACAGTTGACTACCACGCCTCAATTCCTGTCAGAAACACCAGGTGAGTGAGTTCATTTTTCACCCAACACTCGCCCTCTCCACTCCCATCAATCCACCAACTCAGCCTTCATAATCCATCCAGCAGTATGCATCAACCAACATCCACTTCACTCGACCTATCACACAAACAAACAAACACAACAGCCTACACACGAACAAACGAACAACGCAAGAGCAAACATCAAGCTAGCCAACTAACCAACATATCAAACAACCAACCAAACAAACAAACAATCAACCAACTAACCAAACAACCAACTAACTCACGAACTAACTGACTAACTGGCAATGATAACCAACAGAAATTCACGGAAACACAGCGAAATTGCTGAATTCCAATGTGAAATGCTCACAGAGACACACTCATACCGACACAACACAACCACATCATAACACAGGGCCACACAACACGCAACAACCCAACAGTACACAAAACAACACAACAAACCTCAAAACGCTCTCTCACATACATATACACAAGGCGATACGAGACAACACAACACAACACAGCACAACACAAAACATTCCTCGAAAATCACCAGTCAACATCACTGATCAATCAGAGTTGATAATGTCGCTAACCGCTTCCACCAATTGTGCATCATTCACATCAAAACATTCTCCTCCACCTCTCTGTATCGCTCTCACTACACCCACTCCCTCTCCCTCTTTCTCCACAGAAACACAACCAGTCGCAAATCAGTCAGAAAGCACTGCGTCAGCTGGCACTGATCAACAGTTGACTACCACGCCTCAATTCCTGTCACAAACACCAGGTGAGTGAGTTCATTTTTCACCCAACACTCGCCCTCTCCACTCCCATCAATCCACCAACTCAGCCTTCATAATCCATCCAGCAGTATGCATCAACCAACATCCACTTCACTCGGCCCATCACACAAACAAACACAACAGCCTACACACGAACAAACGAACAACGCAAAAGCAAATATCAAGCTAGCCAACTAACCAACATATCAAACAACCGACCAAATAAACAAACAATCAACCAACTAACTCACGAACTAACTGACTAACTGGCAATGATAACCAACAGAAATTCACGGAAACACAGCGAAATTGCTGAATTCCAATGTGAAATGCTCACAGAGACACACTCATACCGACACAATACACCACATCACAACACAGGGCCACACAACACGCAACAACACAACAGTACACAAAACAACACAACAAACCTCAAAACGCTCTCTCACATACATATACACAAGGCGATACGAGACAACACAACACAACACAGCACAACACAAAACATTCCTCGAAAATCACCAGTCAACATCACTGATCATTCAGAGTTGATAATGTCGCTAACCCCTTCCACCAATTGTGCATCATTCACATCAAAACATCCTCCTCCACCTCTCTGTATCGCTCTCACTACACCCACCCCCTCCCTCTTTCTCCACAGAAACACAACCAGTCGCAAATCAGTCAGAAAGCACTGCGTCAGCTGGCACTGATCAACAGTTGACTACCACGCCTCAATTCCTGTCAGAAACACCAGGTGAGTGAGTTCATTTTTCACCCAACACTCGCCCTCTCCACTCCCATCAATCCACCAACTCAGCCTTCATAATCCATCCAGCAGTATGCATCAACCAACATCCACTTCACTCGGCCTATCACACAAACAAACAAACACAACAGCCTACACACGAACAAACGAACAACGCAAAAGCAAATATCAAGCTAGCCAACTAACCAACATATCAAACAACCAACCAAACAAACAAACAATCAACCAACTAACTCACGAACTAACTGACTAACTGGCAATGATAACCAACAGAAATTCACGGAAACACAGCGAAATTGCTGAATTCCAATGTGAAATGCTCACAGAGACACACTCATACCGACACAATACACCACATCACAACACAGGGCCACACAACACGCAACAACACAACAGTACACAAAACAACACAACAAACCTCAAAACGCTCTCTCACATACATATACACAAGGCGATACGAGACAACACAACACAACACAGCACAACACAAAACATTCCTCGAAAATCACCAGTCAACATCACTGATCATTCAGAGTTGATAATGTCGCTAACCCCTTCCACCAATTGTGCATCATTCACATCAAAACATTCTCCTCCACCTCTCTGTATCTCTCTCACTACACCTACTCCCTCTCCCTCTTTCTCCACAGAAACACAACCAGTCGCAAATCAGTCAGAAAGCACTGCGTCAGCTGGCACTGATCAACAGTTGACTACCACGCCTCAATTCCTGTCAGAAACACCAGGTGAGTGAGTTCATTTTTCACCCAACACTCACCCTCTCCACTCCCATCAATCCACCAACTCAGCCTTCATAATCCATCCAGCAGTACGCATCAACCAACATCCACTTCACTCGGCCTATCACACAAACAAACAAACACAACAGCCTACACACGAACAAACGAACAACGCAAGAGCAAACATCAAGCTAGCCAACCAACCAACATATCAAACAACCGACCAAATAAACAAACAATCAACCAACTAACTCACGAACTAACTGACTACTTGGCAATGATAACCAACAGAAATTCACGGAAACACAGCGAAATTGCTGAATTCCAATGTGAAATGCTCACAGAGACACACTCATACCGACACAATACACCACATCACAACGCAGGGCCACACAACACGCAACAACACAACAGTACACAAAACAACACAACAAACCTCAAAACGCTCTCTCACATACATATACACAAGGCGATACGAGACAACACAACACAACACAGCACAACACAAAACATTCCTCGAAAATCACCAGTCAACATCACTGATCATTCAGAGTTGATAATGTCGCTAACCCCTTCCACCAATTGTGCATCATTCACATCAAAACATTCTCCTCCACCTCTCTGTATCTCTCTCACTACACCTACTCCCTCTCCCTCTTTCTCCACAGAAACACAACCAGTCGCAAATCAGTCAGAAAGCACTGCGTCAGCTGGCACTGATCAACAGTTGACTACCACGCCTCAATTCCTGTCAGAAACACCAGGTGAGTGAGTTCATTTTTCACCCAACACTCGCCCTCTCCACTCCCATCAATCCACCAACTCAACCTTCACAATCCATGCAGCAGTATGCATCAACCAACATCCACTTCACTCGGCCTATCACACAAACAAACAAACACAACAGCCTCAACACGAACAAACGAACAACGCAAAAGCAAATATCAAGCTAGCCAACTAACCAACATATCAAACAACCAACCAAACAAACAAACAACCGACCAAATAAACAAAATCAACCAACTAACTCACGAACTAACTGACTAACTGGCAATGATAACCAACAGAAATTCACGGAAACACAGCGAAATTGCTGAATTCCAATGTGAAATGCTCACAGAGACACACTCATACCGACACAATACACCACATCACAACGCAGGGCCACACAACACGCAACAACACAACAGTACACAAAACAACACAACAAACCTCAAAACGCTCTCTCACATACATATACACAAGGCGATACGAGACAACACAACACAACACAGCACAACACAAAACATTCCTCGAAAATCACCAGTCAACATCACTGATCAATCAGAGTTGATAATGTCGCTAACCCCTTCCACCAATTGTGCATCATTCACATCAAAACATTCTCCTCCACCTCTCTGTATCGCTCTCACTACACCCACTCCCTCTCCCTCTTTCTCCACAGAAACACAACCAGTCGCAAATCAGTCAGAAAGCACTGCGTCAGCTGGCACTGATCAACAGTTGACTACCACGCCTCAATTCCTGTCAGAAACACCAGGTGAGTGAGTTCATTTTTCACCCAACACTCGCCCTCTCCACTCCCATCAATCCACCAACTCAGCCTTCATAATCCATCCAGCAGTATGCATCAACCAACATCCACTTCACTCGGCCTATCACACAAACAAACAAACACAACAGCCTACACACGAACAAACGAACAACGCAAAAGCAAATATCAAGCTAGCCAACTAACCAACATATCAAACAACCAACCAAACAAACAAACAACCGACCAAATAAACAAAATCAACCAACTAACTCACGAACTAACTGACTAACTGGCAATGATAACCAACAGAAATTCACGGAAACACAGCGAAATTGCTGAATTCCAATGTGAAATGCTCACAGAGACACACTCATACCGACACAATACACCACATCACAACACAGGGCCACACAACACGCAACAACACAACAGTACACAAAACAACACAACAAACCTCAAAACGCTCTCTCACATACATATACACAAGGCGATACGAGACAACACAACACAACACAGCACAACACAAAACATTCCTCGAAAATCACCAGTCAACATCACTGATCATTCAGAGTTGATAATGTCGCTAACCCCTTCCACCAATTGTGCATCATTCACATCAAAACATTCTCCTCCACCTCTCTGTATCGCTCTCACTACACCCACTCCCTCTCCCTCTTTCTCCACAGAAACACAACCAGTCGCAAATCAGTCAGAAAGCACTGCGTCAGCTGGCACTGATCAACAGTTGACTACCACGCCTCAATTCCTGTCAGAAACACCAGGTGAGTGAGTTCATTTTTCACCCAACACTCGCCCTCTCCACTCCCATCAATCCACCAACTCAGCCTTCATAATCCATCCAGCAGTATGCATCAACCAACATCCACTTCACTCGGCCTATCACACAAACAAACAAACACAACAGCCTAAACACGAACAAACGAACAACGCAAAAGCAAATATCAAGCTAGCCAACTAACCAACATATCAAACAACCAACCAAACAAACAAACAACCGACCAAATAAACAAACATCAACCAACTAACTCACGAACTAACTGACTAACTGGCAATGATAACCAACAGAAATTCACGGAAACACAGCGAAATTGCTGAATTCCAATGTGAAATGCTCACAGAGACACACTCATACCGACACAATACACCACATCACAACGCAGGGCCACACAACACGCAACAACACAACAGTACACAAAACAACACAACAAACCTCAAAACGCTCTCTCACATACATATACACAAGGCGATACGAGACAACACAACACAACACAGCACAACACAAAACATTCCTCGAAAATCACCAGTCAACATCACTGATCATTCAGAGTTGATAATGTCGCTAACCCCTTCCACCAATTGTGCATCATTCACATCAAAACATCCTCCTCCACCTCTCTGTATCGCTCTCACTACACCCACTCCCTCTCCCTCTTTCTCCACAGAAACACAACCAGTCGCAAATCAGTCAGAAAGCACTGCGTCAGCTGGCACTGATCAACAGTTGACTACCACGCCTCAATTCCTGTCAGAAACACCAGGTGAGTGAGTTCATTTTTCACCCAACACTCGCCCTCTCCACTCCCATCAATCCACCAACTCAGCCTTCATAATCCATCCAGCAGTATGCATCAACCAACATCCACTTCACTCGGCCCATCACACAAACAAACAAACACAACAGCCTACACACGAACAAACGAACAACGCAAAAGCAAATATCAAGCTAGCCAACTAACCAACATATCAAACAACCAACCAAACAAACAAACAATCAACCAACTAACCAAACAACCAACTAACTCACGAACTAACTGACTAACTGGCAATGATAACCAACAGAAATTCACGGAAACACAGCGAAATTGCTGAATTCCAATGTGAAATGCTCACAGAGACACACTCATACCGACACAATACACCACATCACAACGCAGGGCCACACAACACGCAACAACACAACAGTACACAAAACAACACAACAAACCTCAAAACGCTCTCTCACATACATATACACAAGGCGATACGAGACAACACAACACAACACAGCACAACACAAAACATTCCTCGAAAATCACCAGTCAACATCACTGATCATTCAGAGTTGATAATGTCGCTAACCCCTTCCACCAATTGTGCATCATTCACATCAAAACATTCTCCTCCACCTCTCTGTATCGCTCTCACTACACCCACTCCCTCTCCCTCTTTCTCCACAGAAACACAACCAGTCGCAAATCAGTCAGAAAGCACTGCGTCAGCTGGCACTGATCAACAGTTGACTACCACGCCTCAATTCCTGTCAGAAACACCAGGTGAGTGAGTTCATTTTTCACCCAACACTCGCCCTCTCCACTCCCATCAATCCACCAACTCAGCCTTCATAATCCATCCAGCAGTATGCATCAACCAACATCCACTTCACTCGGCCTATCACACAAACAAACAAACACAACAGCCTACACACGAACAAACGAACAACGCAAAAGCAAATATCAAGCTAGCCAACTAACCAACATATCAAACAACCAACCAAACAAACAAACAACCGACCAAATAAACAAAATCAACCAACTAACTCACGAACTAACTGACTAACTGGCAATGATAACCAACAGAAATTCACGGAAACACAGCGAAATTGCTGAATTCCAATGTGAAATGCTCACAGAGACACACTCATACCGACACAATACACCACATCACAACACAGGGCCACACAACACGCAACAACACAACAGTACACAAAACAACACAACAAACCTCAAAACGCTCTCTCACATACATATACACAAGGCGATACGAGACAACACAACACAACACAGCACAACACAAAACATTCCTCGAAAATCACCAGTCAACATCACTGATCATTCAGAGTTGATAATGTCGCTAACCCCTTCCACCAATTGTGCATCATTCACATCAAAACATTCTCCTCCACCTCTCTGTATCGCTCTCACTACACCCACTCCCTCTCCCTCTTTCTCCACAGAAACACAACCAGTCGCAAATCAGTCAGAAAGCACTGCGTCAGCTGGCACTGATCAACAGTTGACTACCACGCCTCAATTCCTGTCAGAAACACCAGGTGAGTGAGTTCATTTTTCACCCAACACTCGCCCTCTCCACTCCCATCAATCCACCAACTCAGCCTTCATAATCCATCCAGCAGTATGCATCAACCAACATCCACTTCACTCGGCCTATCACACAAACAAACAAACACAACAGCCTACACACGAACAAACGAACAACGCAAAAGCAAATATCAAGCTAGCCAACTAACCAACATATCAAACAACCAACCAAACAAACAAACAACCGACCAAATAAACAAACATCAACCAACTAACTCACGAACTAACTGACTAACTGGCAATGATAACCAACAGAAATTCACGGAAACACAGCGAAATTGCTGAATTCCAATGTGAAATGCTCACAGAGACACACTCATACCGACACAATACACCACATCACAACACAGGGCCACACAACACGCAACAACCCAACAGTACACAAAACAACACAACAAACCTCAAAACGCTCTCTCACATACATATACACAAGGCGATACGAGACAACACAACACAACACAGCACAACACAAAACATTCCTCGAAAATCACCAGTCAACATCACTGATCATTCAGAGTTGATAATGTCGCTAACCCCTTCCACCAATTGTGCATCATTCACATCAAAACATTCTCCTCCACCTCTCTGTATCGCTCTCACTACACCCACTCCCTCTCCCTCTTTCTCCACAGAAACACAACCAGTCGCAAATCAGTCAGAAAGCACTGCGTCAGCTGGCACTGATCAACAGTTGACTACCACGCCTCAATTCCTGTCAGAAACACCAGGTGAGTGAGTTCATTTTTCACCCAACACTCGCCGTCTCCACTGCTATCCATCCTATATATCCGGCGTCGTATGCTTTTCTGTATGATTCTTCATTTTTCATCTTCTACATTCTTCTTTTCCGCCTTTTCTTTGTTTTCTTTTCCATTTTTTGCTTCTATTCTCTTTTTTATTTCTTTTTTTTGTTTATTGCAATGTTTCTTCATATTTGTTTGTCGTTTTTCATATCAATTTTTCGTTAACAATTTGTTTGTTTCATTTGATTTTCTCTTTGTCTCCGTTCTCCTGAAGGTTCTGTTTGTTTGGTTTTTATCTTTTATATTTTGATAAACTGGTGCTTCCTCACTTATTCACTATTATATAATATTGTAGTAGTCTATATTACAGTTAACTTTCATTTATTTTTTTTTTATTTAGTATATTTATATAGGCTTTGTATGCTGTGCAATCACAAATCGCGTTAGGAGTGGGCTATTAGGTTTGAAATAACATACTAGTTTCATCTTGTTGGTCGTTAATTTGCTGAAGTAGAATTCAGTTTCTGCTGATTTTAGGCATGGAGGCGATTGAGATGACAAAACTGATTGTTGTTTCTGTTCTGTTGTTTCAATGTGATATCAGTGCTTAAATAGCATTTCACTCACTGCCTTTACATCTGAAGTATAGAATTATTCCTCAAGTTACATTTTCATTCGTTTCTGCAAAATGCGTACCGGTAGTTAGTAAGTCAATGCAAAATATGTGTACGAGCATTTTGTGAATCCAAGACATAAGTGATTGGTTAAGACAATAAAAATTAGAGAAATTAAGATGCACTGTGTAAGGTGGATTTTCATTCAGGCCAGAGATTCATGCGAAACGTCTCATTCAATGATCCGTGTGCATTTTCCTTTTTAAACTAACTTGCTTTCTCAGTCAGTGAAACTTTGGATGGTTGTGATTGGTCGGTTTTTTATAACTGCAATTTTCATCCATTTCATTTTTAGATGGTGCTGACAAGTTTATTAATTACTGTAAGAATTTGCCACACTTTGTTTCAGTGATCTTCTCTTCCATGCAATAGGCTTTTTACTGACAGACTATTGATAGATGTTGGAAACGGTTTTGTGGAATGTCTCATTTTTGGTTTGCAAAAATATGTTTGATCCTAAATGGTGTGGTGGAATGTTGGCTTCATTTCCGCAAATCAGATTTTCAATCTGCCACCTACTTTCCAGCACGATTTTATTCTATATGTCGTTTAGTTTTTGTACACAAGGGTTTGTGACGACATTTTATGGTGTATACCTCACCTTCTACCTGTGGCAGTAATAGTCCTCAGTTTACAAAAGCCACTGGTGGCAGATTTTCCGCAGTTTTATGAGTAATCCTCGTAAAGACATCTCAGTACATTCAACTGATTGTCCATTGTAAATGTGAAGCTTTGATTCCCATCGAACTATAGCATACATTGTTACCATTGCCGCATGCTGAAAATCATTCATTCATGGAGCGAATTTCAACGAAACTCAGAACAAAATTCTTGTATTGTTGAAGAATGAATATCGCCATGATTATTTACGGAGGAGTAGGGATCTTCGGACAAGACTGAATAAGCAAGAGCAGTTTTACTTCGTAGCGGTTGATCGCATTATGAGAAAAGTATAACTTCCGATTAGGGAGATTTTTGTTGTTAGTTTGTGGACTTCTGAAATAGTTGACTCCGCGAGCAATCTGACTTCCTATATCACGTCTTCAGCAAGAAGCAGTTATTCCGCATTGTAATTCACCATGAGGTGAAAGTTTATATTTATATGTATGTTCTACTTGGTAAATTATGAAGAGTTTATCTAGTAGCTTGAGGGAAATATTTTTTTCATTTCAGATGATCCGAATTCAACACTAGACGCATACGCAGATTCATACCGCCAAGTTGTGAATAATAAATGTAGGTGATTATTTCACCGAAAATTAATTTAAGGTTGTCTGTTCAGACTGTTCTGTTATGATTGGTGTTAATTACCTGTTACTACTCATATCGCTTGACCTGATTCGTAGACGACTAATCAACTAATTCAAACACTGACAATACTGAGAAGCTCTTAAAAAAATCTTCTTCTTCTGCGTCAAAATTCGAGGAGACGTATTTCTCATGTCAGCAGATGTATGTAATGTCACCTTATTGTAATAACTTGCAAATCGTTATTGTGAAGTAGAGCGAAAAATCGGTGCTTCAACGTGAGTGATACTGCTACATCTTTTTCAAGGAACTTGATAATCTTCAGGAGAATACTTTGCATCTATGTGGATATTACAGACTGGGATGGAGTGAATAGCAGTTGGAAAGCAATTGTAATAAGATGGAAAGGCCCAATCACTTGGTACTGGTTATCAGCGGATTGTGCGATGAATAATTACATTTATCTGCAGGTGTATCAGTAATGCAAGATATACATTCACACTTCATGAATAATTAGATACACAAAGGTAGAAAGCCTACAGGTCGACATTTAGTCTTTCAGGACTTTTAGTCAAGCATTAAATAATCCACACACTCAACACTTATTTCCACCATTTTGTTTGTTTCAGTTCACATGATTGAAATTCAGACTTATAAAGATCCCCATAATGTCGAAGAAACAATAAAACCTGGTGAGTAATTTTATCGAGATGTCTACATAGCTTCATATGAATAACAATGAACGAATCATTCTCACATTGAGTCCTAAGAAAAAGACGTTGACGGCAAAGACAATTTTTTTCGACGATTCATTTTCATAAGCTGTACAATGGTAATTATATTTAACAAACAAATCATAAGACCAGTGGGATACTGGTAAAATTTGTCTCCTTCTAGGTTGCACCTTGCATCACGTATTACTTTTATTCGAGCACACATTTTACCAGTTTCTGGTCGGTCCTATGATTTCCTTGTTAGATATAATTATAGCTTATGAAAAGAATCGTGGAAAAGAAAACTTTCCTAGCCTTTACGTCTTTTTCAAATTATGTCAGGCATGAAAATATATGGTCAGGTCATTTTTTTGATCAATGGTTTATGTTATATTTCAGGCATTCTTATGAATCAAAGATGCACACTTGTGATCCTTTGGAGGATGACTGAGTATACCGTTTGTTCGTTACCTTGTGATGAAGATAAAATGCACCTCTTGGTCTATGCGTGATAACGCCTGTGGTACCAGAACAATGCTGACTAATCCAAATGGTTGAAATAACGTCTGTCTAGAGTGTGGCATGAAACATTTTGTATCGAAAGGGACCCAATCACTTTCCAACTCTTACTGCTGCGCCAACTGCCCTACCTGTAAGGTGATTTGAAGCACATGACTGAAACCCATGATCACACTTGTGGGTGTATTATAAGATAAGAGGTCTAGTGTTGTCTGCTGCTCTCTTAGCCACTCTTAGATTACTTTGCAGATTAATATTATTTTTACTATTATTGTTAGTCTCCTGAGTATCGAGTGGAAAAAAAGACCTCAACTGCACTTCGCCATACCATCCACCTCTCCGTAGTATTTTGTGGCTGACTCTGAAACCGCCCACTTAACTACTATTCTCTGCCCACATAATCGTGACCATGCCTCTGTCGTACCAACGCTAATGTCCTCATGTCCCATTCACGTTCCACTCAACGGATTGGCGTGTGATATCATTCAACGGTCTCCTTAACGCATGTACTATCTACCTCTGTTTCACTTGGCATATTTGTTTGGCAGTAGGTTCATGATTGGGTTGTCTCCAAACTTTCATGATGCTAATATTTTCTGGGCTCCTGTTCTTCAGTACTAGGGCATCAAAGTAAAGTGTTGACAAAAGTCTGCAGCTGCCTGTTGGAAATTCTTTGTCAACACGATAAGCCTCTGAATCATGCAGAAGCATTGGCTTGACTGCACAGCGTGAAGACCCACATCTCTCACCTTATTCTCGGTGGAGTAGACTCGCAAATGGATTTGAAGACAGTGAGATCCTGTTTTGCTCTTAAAATCTCAGCTGACTGCAAAGTCTTCATCCTCGCCACCACGTGTAGTTGAAATCGTGTTGCCTGGATAAGTGAAGGAAGTGACTTACTTCACATTTCTGCAGTTACCGTTGATTGGCAGATGAGTTGTTCTCATCACTTTTATTTTCTTTAAGGTCACCTGAAGACGTGTTTGTCTCCATTTGCAGGTCTTCGGGTTTAAGTGGCACTTGACATAATCCGTCCGCAAAGTTAAAACCTTCTTCAATCTTCTTGTTGCAGCAACGTTTGACCATTATCTTGCTGTTCACAGTCTGTTACACAAAAGAATCGGCCAAGACCAGGAATACCATCAGTGATCAGCCTTATTGAGCTTTTCGTTGTGGATGTCTTCATATTCACCATAATTACATAGCACTCCGTAGCTTGCAATGCTGTCGAAATTATTTTCAGAGTCGATGAAGTTGGGGTAGACATTTAATTACAATCCTGTGCTCTCTTCTATAATGAAGCGAAGCGTTGAGACTTGATCTGTACATGAATCGCCTTTTCTTAATGCAACTTGTTACCGTGGGAGTTTTGCATTCATAGCACCATTCATTCCATCAAGGATGGCAGTAGCTAATAGCTTGCTTGGATTAGGCAGAAGCATGATTCTAGGCCAGTTCTCGCAGACACATATGTCGTCATTCATTGATAGTTTGACAAGGTAGAATGTCCTTCTGACCCCCATGTAACCTTCTTTCAACCAAAACTCTGTGAATCCGTGGCGTGAGTTAATCCGATGGGGTGACTGAAGACTTCCGTCTGGTTATTTTGCTTTTCCGGCTTCCAGTAACATTTTGGTTTTCGAAACATCTCACTTTGTTAGAATATTGGCGTTCATTTGGAATACTGTGCTTGCAGTAGATGACATTTCTGAACGATTTACAGGTGATGGTGTGTTCGACAGTTTACTTCGTTTCTTCTCTTCTATGCCTAGCATGCCTTCACCGTGCTTCATTGGTTTAATTGTATTTGTTTCTTCTAGGACACCGACGTGTTAAATTCAAGTAGTATTCTGAAGTTTTCCTTCCATGAGACATAATCTACTTCCATTGCTAATATGTCGTTACCTATCCTCTTCTCGTTTTTATGTCCAGTATTCTGAGTCATCATATTCCTGAGATTGAGACGAGGACTTTCTGATATCTGATGTACACAAGTGACAAAACATGTGTCATTTTGTGTATATTGTATTGCTACCTGCAACCAACAACTGACTGAAGGTACAGAAGCATCCACCGTCCGCATATTTTTCACCCAAAACCTCTCCACCTACGACACGTTTCCTTCCTTTCTTGTTTGCTTCCAATTGTCGCATTCTGATGTTGCTAATTGATGTCGTGCACATAACGACTTGCAGTTGTCGATATGATCCCTCCCCCCTCTTGGTTAACCTCGCTTGCAGAAGCATGGCACCAAAAGTCTGGTTTGTTTTAATTGTGTGTGTTGTGTGTTTGTGAGTGAATGAAGGCTAATTTGAATAAAAAAACAACCAGTAAACAATTTCGGTTGTCTTCGCTGGAGGATAGTGGGACTCTGAAGTGTTACCATCATCTGCGAAGTGAAATCATTGTACATTTATTTCCTTTTATGAATTCGAATCGAGGGAGCAAGATAGTCATTGCAGAATAAAAATGGCACCATCATTTATTTCGTTGCCTCTGAGCTGTAAGCAGATGACGATAAGCCCAATAGATAAAAGATGGTACATTTTTATTCTGCAAAAACTATTGTTCTTACTTTATTCAAACTCATTGTACTCAACCAGTACTAAAAGAAAATACATACTGGAGCTTGATTACTGAAATACAGTTTTATGACTTATTTTAATTACGAAAGTTCAAATAAATAACTGGTGAATGAGTTAACGAAGTATAAGGTTCATGATTAGAACTATATTTGAGTTTATGAATCGTAAGATGGAAATACACTTGTTTACAAAAGTCCAGGTTCATTCTACTAAACCTCATTTATTCGAGAGACTACTTCTTCAGTAACCTAAGCAGTAGTCAGCCTTTCCATCGTCAGTTAACCGATACTCAAACACACAAGACTTTCATCATCCAGTAGTTTTAAACGAATGATCGTAGGGACGAAACTTCAACTATTTGCGATTTTGTAGCCGAATACGCCTAGATAACGGAGTAAAAAACTAGATAGACTTTAGTGTGCTGCTGACTGCTGCTTTCACAAGAACCCACAACCAATAAATGTTGTTCTAAAAACTACTTCAACACACCAGACCAGCGAACAACTAGAAAACGTTTTGTTAAGTTGAGCAGCAGAGACTTAGGAATTAGAAAGATGTACGGCAAATGGAAAATGAGAAATATAGGCACGGCATCATTTCGCTGGTCGAAATTCTCTCAACAAATAACCAGTGTCAACTAACATTACGGCATGCACTTATTTTGTGTTTTTTTTCACTTCAAACAGAAATCCTGAGACTTGAACGCTTATATCAAAGTAAATGGGCGAAGGAATTTCTCGAATGTAAGTCCCGTCATTCACGCATTCGATTCTTTTATTTTCCTGAAATGATCTGTATGTTGAATAAAGGCGTGAATTTTCACTGAAGTTAAAAATGCTAGATTATTATTTGAAAGGTCACTGGAGACGACCAAAGGAATTCAACCACCCCACAAACAAATAATTAAAACTAGTATTCCGGAGAGTGACCTCTAGATGTCAGTAGCACAGAAATTTCTCTCAACAAAATAGTCTGCAAAATTTTATGGAGAAACTTCGAGTTGAGGAATGCATTTCAAGTGCACATTTTGCAAAGTACTCCAGTACACATCTTCCCAATACGCATAACACTAAATACTGAATTAAGCATATATTGTGACAATATTGGGCCATCTTCAGAACGAATGCCGTTGATTCACCTTTCAATATCATTTTCAATGCAGAAGCAATATGTTCTGACGGATAAGTTATGTAATGCCTCGAATAAGTTGCCACGTTTAAAAACAAACAGCTTCTTTGTTTCGCTTGGCCTTTTTGTATTCTCACATCTGACAAACCCTCAGTACGCATTTCATGTTTTCCTACCCTCCCCTTCTTATTATGCTTCTGAGTACAAGTAAATAAGATCCCAAAAATTATCTCCCCTTTTACAGCAATCGGTGCGGAAGATAAGAACCTCGTGAATCTTTATAATGGTAGGTTATTCCATCGTGCATGAGACACACTCTTTTGGTATTTGAAAACAAAACCACCATGTTACTGTTTGTGGGATGAACGTCAGCTTGAAATCATTTGGTGTGACAGATGTCACCGGAGATAATCATATATATTTTTTATTTGATAACGCTACCAAGTGAAGCCACTATCGCTAGGCTATACGAATACAATCTTATCCACTTAATGAAGAATTGTCAAATCGGTCATCAACTCAATGAAGAGTGATGTGGTATTCAGTAGTGAAAAGATTTCCTCCATCGTCCACTTTCCTTACAATGTCCTCTTCAACATAAGCTTGTTCAATACATGCATGATACAGTGAAAGAGGATGCATCAGTGATGACATTTCAAACATAATTTTTAATCTAGAGATATGTCAAGTTCATTTACATGGTTTGGAAACCTGATTATATAGTTCTATTTTTTTATCAAATGCTGAACGGTTGAATAAATCCATAGTTATTCAGTTACATTATAAAATTCCTACTGTTATTTGTTCTCTGTGTTTCTGAATGAACCATCGAGGTGCTCAATTCCAAAGGTGTCTTTGAATGGTTCAGTCCAGAACAACAACATAGGAATAATATAGGTGAAAGTAGACAGCTTTCTCTTAAATTCAAGTGATTAAATGAACTTTATATTGTGTGTCATTTCTAATGTGGCATTATCATATGCTTGTTGAATGAGATGTATCAGAGTATGCAGCACTTAGCAGTGTTAGTAAGGGAAACAAGTTATTTAATGGTCGACACTGCCGAAAGTATTCGTAAATTTTATAAGGATTAGGAAACCAGTTGACAGCCACTCTAGCCTATGTCCGATGATGATTCTTAGTTGTGCAATCACACCCGCTCATGATCCCAGAGGCAACATTCATTAGTGATATCTGTTGGGACAGAATGACTTTCAGATTATCATGAAGATTTAATACTGTTAAAATTGTCGTCTGTTTATAAATGAACTCAATTCAAACTTTCCTACTGTTGCAGTTTACAAATACACAGTGCAGATTTTTGGCTATTTTAGGGATTAATTTTTTACCGAAAAATGCTTCTTTTCTCTGTAGATGAATACAAGAAGGCATTGGAAGAAGATAAAGCTTTTAATTACAAAGTTCTTGGTATGACTGATTTTTCTTAACCAGCATTTATAATACTACTTAATCTGAAATTCACTACAGTTAATTATTGCTCCTTTGGGTTTCGAGTGAAACACAGGACTTCACCAACACATCTCGTCTACGTTTTACTTTCCGACGTTCTCTTCAACTGGGTCCACGATCGCCTATAATCTGTCACCTCCCCCTCACAAAATCTCCTCTATGTCATCTTAAGACGACCAACCCGTCTCTTCTCATTGAAATTTAACTCGAGAGACTGCCCGGCGCACGTTATCATCCAACGGGCTTGTCATTGTGTGCCTTATCCATCTTTATATTCTCCTACACATCTGTTGAGCTATCAGCTCTTGATTGGCTCAAAAAAGCCAGTTTTTTGTTGTTAGTTCTTTCTGATTGACCATTTGATTTTCATTATGGAGCTAGAGAAGGCAGCTGTTGCTTAATGTCTGCGACATGTTTAAAATATTTTTCGTTACACATCAAGTTTCTGATCCGTATAGAAAGACCGATTTGGCATTGGTGTTGAAAATGCGAATCTTGTTCTATATATGTTCAATGTGTTCTATATGAAGATCTCCAAACTGGTTTTAGGTTGACAAAAAGGGAATGTCGCCTTTCCGATTCTGACTGGCTGACTTTGACATCTTCATCCATTCCGTATGTGGTTGAAACGATGCTTCCTAGTCAGATAAGTGAAGGAGATCACGACTGAAGATCTCCCCGCTTGATGGTGATTGGTGCTGATTGTTGTTGTTGCTACTATCCGTTGGTTATATTCATCACCTCCATTGTTTCTGTGTTCACCTGGGATCTAGACTTCTACCCTGCCACTTTTGTAGTTTGTTGCTTTTTTCGACCGTAAATCTTAAAGATCGTGTGACATTATACATTCATCATCTTAGAAATCTAGAGCTTCTTGTGTCTTCTTATCGAAGGTTCAGCTTTTTATTGTCTTCTCACTCTTAATCAGAGTCTGACGCAAAATCCAGCGAACCACAATTAGGAATTTCACTGGTGATAATAGCTAACCAGCTTTCCTTTCCTGTATTCACTTCGAACGCCTCACTCAGATTTCCGCTGTGGATCACATGACACGTGGCATTGTCATATAGCCAGCTGTTGATTAACGTTGATAAAGTTTTGAAGACGGCACACCGTAGTATTAAAGTAGTTTCCAAATTATTTCTCGGTCAACGCCACACTGTCGAAGATGATTTTAAGTCAATGTAGGGAGTTGAAGTAGAGGTTTGACTGTCATTCTATGCTTTGTTCAATGACGATGTGTAGACATGCGATTTGACCACCGAACGATATACCTTTCCTGAATTCGGCTTGAACCGGTGAATGTCGGAGTTCTGAATCCAATGCGTCGTTTAATCCTTTCAAGATGATGTAACTTGGTAGTTCTACTTGGTGTGGACAACAGCATCAATCCATCTCAGATCTTGCAGAGGCCTTAGTCGTGCTCCTTTGGCAGTTTGACGAGGTGGCCTTTCTTTCAATCGGCAGGTGGTATTTCTTCCTTCCTAATCATTTGTAATAATGGCGTGAGAAATTCTGCTGCAGTGTCTGAGTCCATTTGCAGTGCTTCTGGGAGAGTTTAGTCCAGTACTGTTGCCTTCTCGGTTGCATTTCAGAAGCTGTATCGCATTCAGGACTTCTGCTTTTGTTGTAGTATTGGTGTCAACTAGTAGGCAGCTCTGTGCTTGTTGTCAGTGGTGGCGCTATTTCTGGATGAGTTGCAGGTGACACACTATTCAATAGTCCTTCAAAATGATCAGCTTATCATTTTGTTTGCTTCTCCTCCTTCGTAATCACTTTCCTTTGATCAGCTTTTATTGGGTTGATCTTTACCCAAATAGAAACCTGGTTACCATCTGATATAATGTTCTGCGGTATCTTCTAACTGCGCACTATTTATTCTGCTTCATTTGCAAGCCAGTGTGTCGAATAAATTGCCTTCTGTCTTTTCTTGCACTCTTTTTCAATTTCTTATTCAGTGCAGTGTACAGTGAACACAAAGTCTCCTTCTGCTTTCCGTCTTTTTGCATTGAGTCAACTTCCTTTTCACCAACCCACTCTCCTCTCTTCGATAAGCTTCCAGGTAGATGTCCGTTGAGAGCCATTCTTTGTATTTTTTCTTCCTTATGCCTAGAACATTTGTACGTGTTTCCTTGACCACTGCTTTCCAATGCTCTTTCTCACAGGTTTCCCCAGTGATGCTATTAGTGTCTCAAATCTGTAGTTAGGGCATCCGTACTAGCTTTTTCCTTCAGTTTCTGAATTTTGAACTTGAATTAAAGTGGCCTGTCTCCGGTTATTCTGTGAGATTTCAGATTCATGTTGAAGTAAATGATTGTCTGAGCCCTCATCTGCTTCTTTTTCTCGAATTTGTATCCAACAAGCTGGCCGCGTATCCACTTCCTTCAGCAGTATTGAGATGAAGTTTATCTGGTTTGTGGTCCATCCGTCAGTCAAAATCCACATTGCTTTGTGTGTTTCCCCCGTCATTCACCATATCATTAAGAGCGCAGAGTACTGCGAATATTTTCCTGTTCTCATTCATTTCTCCGGTTAACAACATCTCGATCTATCATGAATTCTCTCCTATGTTAATCTCACTTCTGCAATAAACTATTTTAGGCAAAATCCCATAAGGATAAATCTGACCGCGTTCAAGATATTTCTTACCAAAGTAGACCGCTCTCTTCTTTGTTCCTAATACTGCTTTGTTACTAAGATCCATTGTTATGAGAAATCACATTCCAGTGATATTCAGAAGATCTACGGGTTATTTGTTTATTGATAGATGACATTTTCGTATCAACTGATGATGGCCTTCACAGTCTGCATATGTGAAGTAATCTTGTGGCTTACTCTAACTCAGAAACCTGACCACATTCACACTGTGTTATGCATGGCTTAGGTGAATTCAATGGTCAGTACCTGATACTAAGATGAAACCTACTGGATGCCTTAAACTGGGTCACACTAAGACATCCAGATAGATTACCACTGTCATTATGTTCGAGGATCATTACGCAGCTCAAATAATCATCTGTTCGCATCTGACAAAGCTTATGAGTAATAAGTATGCCATGTGAATTTATATTTATTCCTTCAGTTAATAAAGGACTATACAGGCGGTTGAAAATGCTGATTTCAAGAAAATGGGAAAATCGAAAAAATCTTGATATTGCAGAAGGTAAAAATTTTATGATTCCACTATTTAGAAAGGTAGTTGGTTATTTAAATTTTGTAAGAAAGAAATTCTTCTTCTGTAATTAGGTGGAGTGCGTGAAGCCACAAAAACTGCTCACTTTTACAGAAGACCTACAACAACACATCTGAATTGCGATATTTCGTCTTAAACATCACACTCATGAGTGTGAATTCTGACTAATCGAGCGAGAAATCGTGATAAATCACTTACTGATGGTTCTAAATTCAATCTTGCATGAATTAGTGGCGTTGCATGAGAAAACGACTTTCTGTAGGATTGTTCTGCACTTTCTATTGATTGGTCTCACTGATTTATATTCACGATCGTGTGTATTTTAAGGCTTCTTGAATGTTCTCAATTTCCTCATCAGCACTGTTATTCACACTTGATAGAGAATAATGAGAATACCTTGCGGTGACGCGCTACGTAAATAACAGAAAGTAGTTTATGCAATAAGCGACAGTAGGCAAACACCATCCATGTATTCACTTAGTCATATTTTGTCATGAGAATCAGTTGAAAACCGACTACTTTCCATCGGTATGTGAGTGACAATACACTTACTCGATGGTTTGATAGCATTTTCTAACAAAGCTTTATACTTGGTAAATAAGTTAATTGTGGTATCATCTGAATTGAATTCAGCTGAATCCATCTTCAGATAAGTTGATTATGATAATGCTGGATTCATCGTATACCAGGAAGTTTGATGACTATCTTATGTATCAATTGCAGACACATTTTTTGAAGAGACATCAGGCAGTTTGAAAAAATACAAAGGTGGGTTTTGTTTCACTTTGAAATTCATCTTTCGTAACTTAATAACTGTGCTGAAATATATCTCCTGTCTTTGTGAATAATAGTTTCTCTAATCTAATTAATATACCTATTCACAATCCCACTGTAATGTGGTGATACTTATTCGTAACAAATCATGTCTGACTATCCTTTATGACAGTCAGATACACCAGCTAGTTGACTGATTGACTCAATTCTGTAGTTGTTTGAATATGTGGTTAGGCTGTATCTACGCATGCAAACACTATGTCTGCTCAAATTCATTTTGTATCAGCATATTTACTACTGACATAAAACACCTCCGTCACAATACCGAACTCGACATAGGTGGATCTCGATCGGAACTCTATTCACAGAAAGATCATCTTGTTGAGTAATACTTGATGAAAATTATGACAATGAACACTACTGTCCATCACCAAGTGTTTATTTGTGATTAGGTATCTTCAAATTACCATATTATGTACACCTTATCTTCAAACGACCATTTGCATAGATCTTCCGCGTTGTTCTACTTCTCTCTTTTGTATTACATTTCTTCGTATTCTTATCACGTCTCTCAAATTTTAACAATACGCTGAATCATTTGCTTTCTTTGACATCAAATCTATCTCACTGCTCTTTAACATTTTTATGCCGATTAATGGTTCTTTATATTTTACTGATAAATTTTATCAGTAGTGCACGTCACTTCAGTCAATAACATGCAAACCCCCTAAAAATGTAGCATTTCCTTATAAATGCAACTTGTATTGTGAGAAACCATTGACGCGATTATTCATTCAATGATTTGACAAATTGTTGTATGAAAGTTAAATATTCTATGCAAACGATTATTGTTCTATAATGGACAAAGCCAAGTTAACATTGAAAATAGACACAAATGCAGTATGAATGCAGTTTACACCTAGTGAAAGCATTTGTTTTACTGATATCAGTAAACACCTTGACATGTCATGTGGTAATTAGGACATTATCAATAGGATAACCATAAAATTGTGATAGTCAGAAGCCATTGCGTGAATACGATCACTTCACGTTGAAGAAGACACAATGAAACATTTCAAACTTTTCGATATTGTGAAATTATAGTACAAATTGAACTGACAAAGAAGGACTTGATGGAAGCGAAAAAAGCAGTGAATGCATCCGAAGGTAAAAGGATTTTGTAAATTCATATTGCACACTACGTTCATGAATAATAAAATTTTATTATGAAAATTCATTAGCCATTTTGGAAACAGTTAGTCCTTAAGTGCCCTATTTACTCATCGATAACAGACACAATCATTAGGTTGTATTAGATATCTTTTCCACCATTAGTAAAATAACTTCTTAAAAATGTTCGGAAGGCTAGTGTAACCGCCAGTGAGTAGTCACGTTTTTCGTGTGCAGTGGACTAAACTTTTGAAAGCTCAAATATCCACTGTGTGGTGAGAAGAAACGTGCTGAGATATAATCAAATTATTATGACACGTTTTCGGATCATCAATATTTTGTATTCAGTATGATGATAAATATGACAATTTAGTTTCTTGATCAACATTTTTAATATCTTTCAACACTTCTTGTTTTTTAGCTAAACTTAAAGTGCTGGAAACAGCAGCAGTCATCGCATCTAATGCATACAGAAATAGTTCAAGTGAGTGAATATATTCATCAATTTTATTAGTTTACTGTAAAGCACAATGAATCTATGGACAGGCCTAATACGATTCACTGTTGGATAAACGTGGTAATGATTATGTATAATACGTAGGCGTGTCTAATTCACCGTCAACACACACACGCCTGACAGAAGAGTAAATCAAGAGTCTATCCTTTCAAGATATTGGTGTGATAATTATAGTGAAGATACCATTGTCTGTAGAAGTGGAATTGAATGCACTGTCATAGAATATAAATCGATATCAGATCAATTCGCTGAATATAACACAAAGTGTCATGATATTGAAAAGTGAATGGTGTTTCTAGGACAATTTATCTCGTATACTTGTATCATATTATTGTATTATCATTACTTAGATTATTTGCGAAGATTGAATAAGGAAGCATCAACAAAAGGTGAGTGAACAGTTTTCCCCTGCTTGAAATATTTCGAAGGTAAAATTGTATTCATCACTAAGCTCCATGAGACTCATCTTTGATCGAAGATAATGACATTTCTACAACAAGAAACTTCAGAACTCCACGTTTAACAGAGAATAGCATCATCATAATTGCATTAGAGCTACAAATGATGAAAATTTTGATCGTCAGCAAGCCATCGTCGAATAGAGGATGAACAAATACAAACAAAACTTTCCTTGACATTTTGAATTGGCTGAGACTCGTTCTTGAAGGTCTCCAGTTTGAAGATCATCTGAAGTTAAAGTCAACAGACCAATCAGACGATAAGTTGATGTATGTATTTACTCACTAATTGAAAATACAAAGTGCGCAAATTACATACACATATCTCATTTCACATTGAATGTATTTGTTTGAAGTACTTCCCTTCAATAATTTCAATTACGGATGCGACATTGAGTGTGATAACAAGTTATTATTCATTTCAGACTCACTGAATGATGAGAAAATTACACAAGTTTATTGGAAAGCTCGTTTTGATTTTGCCGACGGCACAGGTAATTTTTTTGATTCTATCAGATTTCATATTTAATAGTTATAGTGATGAGTGCACTTCTAAGAGAATTTCATTCTTGTGAAAGAGACAGAAGTATTCTGTGTGGCTAATGACGTGTACATTATCAAGTTGTCTTTTTCCTTAATTCCACATTTGGTTATATTATTGACAATATAAGCAATATTACTTGTCACACTTATATTGGAATTTGCAAACTGTTGGACAGTTAGTGAGGAACAGGTCTGAAATACCTTAGCACAAAAGCGTCGAATCTACTGCTCATGTGGTGTTATTTTCATATTATCGAAACACGCAGAACTATTCCGATAAAGCTTCAGTGACTTCATCAATGCATCATAAAATAAAACCACAAACGTTTATGACATATTTTGTGAAGTTCAGAATAACAGTTACATTAAAACTACTTGACATGATCGAGCATAATGATATTTCAGCTTTATTTCTTACTAATGCAACGTTGAAATGTAACATTGAAAATGCTTCTTACACATCACTGAAAATCTATTCACTGTTTTAGATGAACTACGTGACAAAATAAAACTATTGGAAATGAAGAGGATTGATTTTTTAAAATGTAAGTTGAAATACTGAAATGATTTAGAATTGGTTAGTTCAAAACCTAGAAGATAGAATAAACTGGCTCCTGACTGAAATGAAGGAAGATGCCAAGCAGTAATAATGAAGTGAGTTCCTATTTAGATCCTCAGCGTATTTTTAGTTTCTAACTAACTGCACAGGTGAATATGAACGTGAAGATGGGTTTTGCTGTTAGCTAAAATCAGCTATATGAATGCTTGAGAAATAAATAACATTGAAATTTTCTCCACTCTCATTTCTTGTTTACTCATCAGTTTACAAGCATGTCATAACTCACCTACTGGCTGACTGGTCACATGATCACAGTCGGCGGCTGTGCACAATATCACATCTGTAACACCTGCTGAGAGCGTCGTATATTCAAATGGTGCTTCACATAGCCAATTTCCTGTGAGAGGAATTATAATTCGGAACCAACCAGATAATGTACACATCTATTCTGTGTTTCAATTGTCACAGAAAGTACTACCTTAAGACTAGTGTCATTGTTGGTTAGACAAAAAACTGTCAACAATAATCCTGCTATACAAGAGACATGTCTATTCTCAACTCATTTGTACTTTGCTTTTGGTTTCATTTTATTTCAGCTGCGGGAAAGGGAATTCGATACCAAGGGAATTCAAGCGATATTGATGAAGGGAATACATTGTTTGCTTATCTCTTTTTTGTTTAATTAAATATAATATTTTTTCTTAAGATCTCGTTTCAGTTGACGTTTTCTTTCTTACTAGTAGAGTGCGTTATGTGAGAATGAAGTGGCTGGTTTTAAAAAAGTAGACTAAACTCTTATGCACAACTTGGGGATTATTGTGTTTGGCTAACGAAGTGTATTGTGTACCCGAGAGGAATGGTCAATGAGGAGAAGTGTCAATATTTACCAAAGACTAAAAAGCACGTATATGCACAAAGAAATCCAATCCATATTTTCAAGTTATCTGATACTAAAATTTCCAGGAAATACAATAGGAGAGTTGACTTGTGAAGACTTTTAGCACGTGGGTTGGTTGACTTTAGGTTATTTTGTTAACCACAGTGTACAATATAATATAATACATAATATAAAGTCTCAGTCACAATATGCGTCATTAAAATGCAGCAAATTCGTCATCCATGTTATGAAAAAATGTCATGGTCTGAGAATGACGGAATTAAAAGCCTCATTTAATATATCATGTATATAAGGCAACATTATGTTTTGAGAGGTCTTATTTCCGCTATATAAAAAATTCTCAATTATTGTAATGTGTTCAAAATAACATTCAATATCAAAAAGTTATTCATATTTCTCAGATGTTTTAAGCAGTACAAAGATTAACGTGAATGTTGTGTAAACGAAATTGTGCATGCTAAATGCAGACTCTGTTAACAAGATACTGAATGATCTACAAAATTCATAGATTCGCCCATTACAGCACAGCTGAGTTAAAGAGATGTCGCCTTCTGCAAAAGCGACATATGGAATCGACAACAACATGATGTGCACTTGAATGTGTTGATAGGATTTTCAATCGTGAAACTCAACTCTCGTCCTTGTCAGTCAAAATCTCAAAAGACTTTGACAGAATGATTTACATGTGTTCGTAGTTAAGCGATTTCTGAGTGCATGCTTTCCATCATCATGAAACTGCTCATATATTAATCTGTGAGAGAGTGATATACAGAGAGAGCTAGCGAGATATAGAGCGAAACAGCAAGAATGAGAGACCTGAGAATGTTTCGAATTGATGATGGAAATTTACTTGTTCCTTTATTATCCTAGGGATGATTAAATGGTGTGCTTGTTTATGGAGTAGATGTGTCACTGATTGTGTATGAATTGTATATACATAAGCCTTCACATGCTGCTGGATATTTATGGGACACGGTGTATATAAGTCAGTAGTCAGTGAGTCAAGCAGTCTGGCAGTCAGACAGTCACCTCATAGAGTGAGAACTTATGAGCAGGAAAGTGAATGACAAGATTGGTCGAGTGATGAATGCCAGTGCTGACTAAATGAACCACTGATTTCTGCCAGTCAAGTATGTATCATCTCTCACCATTCCTTGATGGGAGAATTTTGTGCGTGATAAAATCAAACACAGATACAGTATTACTTAATTAATTACTGTGTGCTTGTATCATCAAATGAATTTCTTCTTTGAATGATGGAATCTAATTGTACTGTACCACACTATGTGCATAGGCTCTACTCTCCTCAAATGTACTATGACTGCCCAAATATTATTGTGATTTAGGACCTCACTGAATTATGATGGTTTACTCTCACCTTATGTTGACAAGGTGGTGGTTGTAATCGATCAGACGAGAAAGCTAAGCTAACGGGAGAACTGATGACTTCATAGTTGACGAGTAGACAAAGCATGATGAATTAAAAATGATATGTTGCTGATACACTACTCGTTCGATGAATGCCTACGTATCTCAATCTCAGTGAAGATGCAAGTTCGTCAGTTTTCTGATGGATAAATGGATGGATGGATGAATATTCATTCAGAATAGATGACGAGAGATGACGTGAGGTGATTTTCAGCTCATTAGTGTCTGTCCGGTGAAGGCATTGAGTTAACTGACACAAGCTACACAAGATTGTGAAGACATCAAGAAAAGTGAATAGAGATGGTGATTGGAGACACCTACTATTCACCGTTAGTTGAGATTCAGATATCACGAAATTGTAGGACTACCGTCCTACCATAAGAAAAGACAGTCAAAGGAGTCTGTCTCTCCAGCAACGAATACTGACGACTAGTTCACATTTGATGTGGAGAATAGAAAAATAGTGAGATAAACGGAGAAAGCGGAGGGGAGTGAGAGAGAGAGAGGGGACAGAAAGAAGGAGATAGAGGAAGAGAAACAAAATGTGTTTGTGAAGGAGAGACAGCGTGATGAATGGACAGATCGAAATGTGATGAGCGTGGGTGATTGTGTGATTCACTCTGTGCGTGCGTGTGTGTAAGGTGGAGGGTGTATGTTCCTCACTACTTAATTTGACGGCCAATGCACTAATTTACCTCATTAGGGCGCTAATAAGACTGGTAAAGAGGGAAGGTTAGGTATGAAGTTAGCAACTTTACTCGTAAAAATAAAAAAATAAACGCTGCTGCTACCAAAACTTAAAGTTTCCAGCTTGACGCCCTATATTCTACTAGGAACGTACAACAATTAAAATCCTTATGTGAGCGTCAAATGATGATGAGGTGAACTTTTCCTCATCATAGAGAGACTGTTGAGGACGTAATCAATCTTGTGGGGTAATCATGCGAGGAATAGTGTATGTTCATGTTTGTCTGTGTAATTCACGTGTGTGCGTGTCGTGTTTTCGTCGTAAAGGAGAGAGATACACTCAGATGAAGATGGATAGACGGGAAGACCGAGAGAAAAGCAGAGAGATAGTATGTATTCCTGTGTATGAGTGACTGAGAGAGAATTGTGAGAGTTTCTCGAGCTGTAAGAAAGTACGTTAAGCCTCTAATAGAAAGTAACCCAACCCGATACACTATCCAATCAAAAACGCACACTGATATTTTGCAACATTCATTTTCCAAATAATAACAACTGGCTTTCTGTGCTTATATATTGTAGGCGAATTGCCTAGCACTGTCTATCCCACATTTGCCTCATACCTTTCTACTCTAATGAATCAATCAATTTCTGAATGATGTTAATTCACTCATCGTCACCTCATGACAAATGATGATGATGGTGATGATTTTTGAGTAATGTGTAAGAAGAAGTGAGAGACAGTGAGAGGCAGAAAAGTATCAGTTTTCGTGGATTGTGTATAATCGAATGCATTGTGAAAATATGTAGAGTTTTAGTCGAATAAACGAATGTGGAACCTTGTCTCTGAGTAAAGTTGTTTTTTGATGGTATTTTCTACATGCGTAGGAGTGTTCTGAAATGACCCTAGTTACTAAGTCATTTTTCCGTGGCATGAATGTTAGGTGCACTCCACCGCTTTGTAAACTGATCATCGAGGAAACCAGCTCAATCCTCGACACTTCACTCAATTCAATACTTCAGAGACTTGATGTGTCAAGTACAACAGCCTTGGGTAGTATGTCATCAACACCTGATTTTGTTAGTTAGATAGTAAAGACCAGATGTCTGAACAGAAATGATAAGAGATAACAAACAATGGTGATGAACCGTCTTAACAACTTTATCCCAACAAATCAGCAGAAGATAAATGAGATGGATAGGACATACACTGAAGGGACTGTTGAGTAACATCTTATATCATGTCCTCATATTGATCCTAAAACCAAAGCGAGTGATATCCAGAAGTTCGTATGAGGATGAAATGAAAGCTTGAGAGTAGTCTTGTAGCCAGCTAAACAAGACTGCATAGAACAGAGTGGAATCGAATTTTCTGTTGGAATGAACGCAGTAACAAACGAACTTATGTATTCTTATCCGGTTTCTATTTAGCATGTCTTTATCTATTTTCAATCGTTTGGTTTTGTGCTTAAAATACCTCCCACTGAGTGTTCATTTGTGGACTCGTAAATTCAACTTTGCCACCCATAAGTCATGTCAACACCATAGGTGTGTCTTAAGATATGAAGCTGAAAAATTGTCAATAGTCGAGGTTTGCTGCATTTCAGTTTGTGAAGACATGGTCTCAATGAATTGGATTCAAGTGTTTCAAGAATTAATCTACAATGACATAGATACATCTTGAGAAGTTGTCATAAATTGTGATTTCACTGATAGGCGTAATAAAATCAATGGCGATATTGGTAGTCCTTGGTAGCTAAACTAGATTTCGTATTTTCATATGAATGCGTGATGTGGTTGAGTAATGTAGCTTCAGGCATATTCATGATCTTCATCTATGCCTTGGATATCAAACGATAAAGAAACCAATTTCTTTCAAGGTAAGCTTCGATGGGGAATTGAAAATTATCTTGAATGCGTTGCTGTATGTTGTTCATCTAGGAATTCTCTAGGTGGGAAGAGTTTCAGCTTATTCTTTTACTGTGAGTGGACTGGAAGCATACAGTCCATTGAAAACACTTTTAATTCATAATTAACCGAATTCTTTGGAATGCAGTAATACCTGGTCTCCATGTAATTTTTTTGAAAGATAGGGAAGAGAGACAGAGAGAGCACGAATTTCAATAAGGTCATTCTTTTTCCTAACCAAAACATCCAAGACTGCATTCTTCAACTACATGTGCAAGCTTCGAAATGCAATTTTTTGTTTTGTGTGCACAAATATTATTTTGCACTGGTTTCTTCAATGAATCCATGCTCAGTTATTCGGTTCCCACAATGTGGTGAAGATCCTAATTTATGAGGCACGAAGAATTTAGTGACAATAGTAAGAAATTCAGCAGGTAATCTAACGCATCTTTAAACTAGTGAATATATTTGCTTGAAAGGTTTTAGGTTGATAAGCGTGCATTGTAAATAATGAGAAGAAGAATTAATACTTACTTAAACAACTTGGTACAGAACTAACCAGTTGAGTGTTTTATACACAAAGCGAATGGGATAAAGCAAACGAGAAGTAGAACTGTCTTTTAATTCACTTTGGAATCAACGATGAGACTGTTGAACAAAATCGAGCAACCAATGCGTTAGGTTGTGTATATTATCACTGAAATCTGACATCGTAGATCATCCCGTTGACCAGAAAAATAGTGTGTTTGTGTGATACAGACTGTGTGTGCCAACCGATTATTATTCTCACATATTCCTACAGTTCCATGCGGCATCAGCAAAAGAATACGATATATCTTTTTGAACATTCTATTGGATTTTCGCTGCAACCATCTTTTTCATAACTCCTATGATCCAGTGTGTATATTCCGTGATTCGGAACGTTATTGCCACAGTGCTTTACTGCGTTAGCAACACAATGCTATGCGTATTTGAACATTCTATTTCAAGTCATTTAATGTAAGCCAAATCACAGGCTCAATGATTGGTCAGAGAATGTAAAACTTTATATAAATAATTAGTTTTTAATCACTTAAAAATATACCTTGGCTTCTGTGTCTTGCTTTTTGCTTTTACAATATGTTTTATGTGAGATATATGAAACATAATCATATTAATGTTAATCTTTTTTTGAAGATAACACCACTGCCATGATCACCTCACATATCATCGCAGAAATCAATCAACTGTCCTCAAAATAATTTGAAAATGAGGAGGGTGAGAAGAAGATATAGGAGTGGAATTGCACGCCAAGGCTTTAAACCACCATCACCAACTGCATGTAACGCATTTCACATTTGTTACCCAATACTCGTCATCATCATCATCAAGAACCACTACCAAGGAGAGCACGCGAACACGCCCCACCGACCAAAATTTCTTCCAATTATTTACGCACCACTTCACATAATCTCTGCTTATCACCACACGTCAGCACTCATCATTCAGTCTTGATAATGTTGTTAGCCACTTCCAAATAATCATCAATCACACTCCGTTCTCGTCGCCTTCCCCTGCCTTCATCTACTCCTACAGACTCGTCAGAAGTCACAGATAAGTCTTCAGAATACATGCAATCAGATGGCAGTGATGATCAGTTGACCAGCACGCCTAAATTCCAGTCAACATCATCGCTGCTAGTGGATTCATTAACTCAATCGCTAAACATGGTAAGCGATAACTTCAGACTTCACAAGCTACGCATACCTCATCAATAATGCATTTCATTCTTCATCCACTTCGGAAGTTCACAATACAGTCCACAAACACTCTCATGCACTTACACATATAATGACTTGTCCACATTATCACACTTAGACTCATAGAACTGCAGCTTTTCATTCTTTGACTCTCGCTAAGATCTTCTGTTATAACAGACACAATTTAAATGTAGAGTTTTCTGCCTTTCCGTGTTGTATTTCCCTATATTTTTTTTCGTCCTGACCCTAATTATTTTCTCAGTTTTCTTATGTCTTCTTCTTACTTTGACTAAAATAAATTTATTCTTGCGCGTATTTGTTCATCTCTTTGAAATGTATTTTCTAGCATCCTTTTCATTGGAGATATACACTAATCTTCATTCTGTTTCCGGTTGTCAGCACTTTTCAGCCGGTACTTAACTCAAGTATTTTATCTTGTAAATGCCGAATTAAGACAAGTTTTCCATCCGATTTAGCAAAGAGATAAACCTACTGCAGCTATTCAGTTTATGTTAGTAGTGACAAATATCAATACAGCAGTTGCTTTTGATGACTGCTCATTGAGACTACTGTTGAGAACACTCACACTGAACTGAAGTAGTTTGATATCTAAGATTCGACAATATGTCAGTCTCCTGCAATGTGTGGCAATATATGTCTTGCCAAGTTGCGGGATGGCTGACTGAATTGAAATAGCCACAGCAACTAACACGGCAAAATAATAAGCGAAAATTCTCCCATATCGAATAGAAAGACTATTTCGGGAAGTCCGGAATCTTATACATGGATCAATGACGACATCATTTTGTACATTTTACAATGAAAATCCAATTTGTCATGTGGATGAGTGCACTTAAAGTATATGAAATCATAAGTAATTATCACAGGAATGCAAAATACTGATTCCAATCTATCGATCAATACACAAACTGCCATGTGAATGTAGCACTGTACAAGTACAAATAGATAAGTCTGTAGACAATATGTCTATTGTAAACTGTTGCACACGTTAAATCAAACGGCTCGGTGATTCAACACTCCAATATGTTTACACCCCATAACCAATAATAAAGTGTTTCCCATCGCTTTCAGACAGCTTTGTTACTGAAGTTTTGCTTTCCATTAGAGAATGGAACAAAGAAATTCACCACAGAAGTGATCCTCGCTCCTTCGATATTTTAGACAAATAATGTTAAGATGTCCATGATGCTGATCGCCATTGAAATTATACACTTCCATTATCTGGATAACAGAGCATACACAAGCCCCACTTTCACAATAAATCCACTCGCTAAAGCATTTCAATCGTCGGAGTGATGAGAGGAGACGAGACTCCCGTTGCTGAGAACATAACATGTTATGCCAGCGATGAATAACACATTATATCTCACAATGTAATGACAATTTATTCTCATCATGCCTGGCATAGGTGTATTTGAATTTCTCAACCATAAACTCCGCATCCACAAACGACTGCCTCAATCGATACTGGTGAACTTTTCAGGAATTGGAAATAAACGCAAACGGTTTCTTGACGCCACACACAGTCAATAAGCTGCACTGGTTCATACTGTATCTCTTGTCACAAAATTTAGAATTAATCTACCAAACACAACTGTGTTATCAGTGTCACCTCACTCTGATATGATCTCTTCTCTCTTGCTGATTTCAGAAGAAGGGATTAGTCAGTAGCAAAGATTGAAGACAGGATTTAGTGCAGCTATACTGTGATATTTGAATTTCAAGCGATCAGAATATCCATAAATCCTCAGATACAACTGTTTTGCTTGTACTGTCATCTCGGGAGGTGAAGGTGGCATTGTCATCAGCTGAAGGGCTCGGCAACTTCAAAAATGTCACTGGAAGTGCTACTGAGAATGACAAATGTTCAGCAGGTGAGTCATTCATCTCACATTCTTATTGATTCACTGAAATATAATCTGCAGTTAAGAAGGCGATCATGCCTTGCATACTGATGCTGAGCCGTCGGTCATAGGAGACATGATATGCGT